TTTTGGGGGGGGGGGGGGGGGGAAAGAGAAATAAATCAACAAAGTCTGTGTCCTATTTTTCACTGCTTGGACTTGTCAGGCTCCTTCAATTTTTCCGTAATAATTTTTATGCTATGTAAATCTTCATTTATATTATAAATTATATAGACATTTTACTTTTTAAGTTTCAGATTAATTTTACCCATGCAAGGTCATTTCCAAGTTTTGTTGAATCAAATTTTGTGAAGAAACTGAAATGCTTGTAAGAAGATTCTTCTTGTTATATTGTAGTATTATGTCTTTGCCCTTTAGATTATCATACTGTGGCTCATGATATTTTTGATCAATGGCTTTATAAAACCAAAGATGAAGAAAATGTCACTATTATCTAAATCCATTAAAATCACAAAATATGTTAGTCTCTTTCCAATGACTCTATTCAGGCCCCAGTCATTGAGACCATGCAAATTAGAAGCAAGAAACTTTAAAAAAAAAAAAAATTGTATATCAGGGTGTGAATTTCAGGGACTTACTTTCAGACATCACAAAGAACATAACATGGGAAAATTTTGATTCTTGAATAAAAAAAAAATATACTGGTATATTTTGAACTTTTAGTCAGTATATTTTTGAACTTTTTGTCACATATGACTCTGTGTTTAAATAAATTACTGACATTTTCCATGGCTGGGGAAAAAAAAAATAATTGACCAAAATATTTCTAGTTTGATATCAGCCTCCAGTCATTAGAGTAAAAAAAAAAATGCAAAACATAAATTCTGGGGATGCAGGTTATTTTATTACCTTAAGGGGAACAAAAATTGAACATATGTCAGCATACAACACAAAATTAAATAAAAATGACGCTGATATCACAAAAATTCATTGTGCATTAGATTAATAAGGGGATATCGCAAGCCTTACCTTCCGAGTCTCGGGGTAGTTCCTCCTCCCCAACTAAATGACGTTGCTCAGCGTAGATCTTATTCTCATCCTTGTATTTCCCACCACTCCCGTCCAAGACACTGCTGTGTTGCTTAATGTTGCCAGTAGGCATCATAGGGAGGAGAGTGGTGGGGGCGGGCAGGGACTCCCCACTATGCAGTATGGCAAGGTTGTTTACTTTATGCTGAGGTAATCCCTCTGAATTGATTGAGGTGGTGTTTGATGTGTTGGTCAGTGAAGCGCTGAACTGTCCAGCGGTGTGAGAGTTGCTGTAGTGTACCTGTTGCTGCCTCAGAATCAATTGGGTCTGGTCAGGCTGCGATGAGGCTAATGGTGGTCCCCTAGAGATACTCGGTGGCATTTCAATAATGTCTCTTCTCACAATTGTTTGATTATGTTGTCCAACCACAGCTTTAGGCTGCTGAAATCGAGGGTCAACTGACCTTTCCTGACTGGAATTACCTGAATAAGTCCTATCCTGCCCCATGGGACTACCATAAGGTCTATCCATTTGCCTGGGTCGGATGACAGTTACACCTGTGGTGTTTCCAGCTGAAACAAATCCAGTCTCCGGCACAAATCTTTGCCTGTCCTGTTGCTCTGGCAAGGAATTAAGCTGCAGCTGCCTTACAATGGTAGATTCTCTATTTACCTGAGCAAATCACACAAAAACATTAAATAACATGAATGGCAGATGCTGCAACTTTTTAAAAAAAAATCATTAACAAATAAATTATTTCAGACTATTTAATTTTTATTGATAAATTTTAATATAAAAACTACATCTTAAAATGTTGGCACCCACTTAATAAAAAAAAGACCTATTTTAGCATGTGCTTCTCAAAATGGTCCATTGACAGGCCCTTGTAAAAGATGAATAATTTTAGAATACCCGGTTTTTAAAAAAGAAAATGAATAAATGAATAGGGCACCAGGCATCACACTTGAGGCACCTGATATTTATTGTTGGAGAGGTGAAAGTTGGCAATTATTTTTTTTATAACATAAAAGGAAATTTTCTCCAAAATGGCCCCAATTATTCTGTAATAAATCTAGCTAGGATGAGTAATCTGAACCAAACAACTTGCAGTATGATCATTATAAAGAGCTATAAACAAGCAGGAATGCCCTTCTTTAGAGCCAAGAGGTAGGTGCTGGACAACTATCACCCCTGGTGCATAACATCATACATTTGCACTCAGTCAATAAGCTGGTATTCAGGAATAGGGACTACTGCATCTAATTGTTTCAGGCGGAAAACATAAAGCACAACAAGCACCCTGTGTAATGAAATGCATAACACCTACGTCAAAATACATAAACTATTTTTTGGTTAATGTTTGGGAGTCACAAGAGAAATTTCAGGGGCATGTTTTCAAAGAGCATCCCTGTTGAAATTAATTAAGATATTACATTTTTTAAAGATCCAGAGCATCAGAAGTATCGGTAGCTGTTGTTGATAAAAAAAAATCGACCCCTATTTAAGATATGAATTAAAAACAGAAAATCTGGCCGCAGGTTGCTAAGCTCCAGCAATTTAATCATAAGCATGTCTCAAAATCATTTTAATTCAGAAGTGAATAATTTCAGATATAAAGAGAACATTTTCAGATTTATTTCCAAGTAATCTCACTTAGCAAGAATGCCCCATAAAAAGTCTCATTAACCTGCTGATCACTAGAGATTCTGGGACTTCCAGCACTTCCTGAAGGCCCAAAGATACCCACTGTCTGTAGGACATTTGTTAAGGGGCCGGCTGACTTTGGAGTATGAACATCTACTCCAGAGTCCTCACTATGTCCAGAATCCTGCTTGACCAGCGCTAGGGAACTACTACGAGACTTGGCTGACATGCGGGGGTCCAGAACCTAAGATACATCAGTTGATAAAATTTATAGCATTAACCAATAAATTTTACTGTAGGCACATAATGTTACTAAGTTATCAAACGGAATAATTTTTATTGAATTCTTATACCTATTTTGTGTTAATTTTCAATCTGCATAATCCTAAATGACCTTTATAAAAATTCTTTCGAAAACATTTTTTTTCAAAAAGAAATCTGTTGCCAGTCTATCTAGATTATAAATAACTCATGGTCTGTCCTAGAAAAAAAATCAAGGATATATACTAAAAGAAGTAACCAATGGGGGAGATTGTTATATTTGGTATAGAAATAACTTGTTTGAACTGATTTGATGATTGTTGGGTACTCTTTATGCTAAGAGTCTTTATTTCAACATTCCTACAACCGGTACTGCATAATAGTTTTAGGTCAAACCAAATTCAAATCTAAGAAGGCATTTGTAGCTAAGTTACAACTGGAACCAGGAAAAACTACAAATGGTTGGCCCATCCCAATCAGCCAGTCTTGGCTGGACAGCAAATTAATTGGTTTGGCCACCTCGTCAGTTTGCCTAGCAACCAACCTACATTGAAAGCTTACAATAGCAGGTACTCTGGATTCAAGGCCAGAGAAAGATCACACTTTTAGTTGATGGGCTGGACAAAAGAGTCCACAACATAAGCCTCCAGCAGGCCTCACAACTTGCAGCTAATTGCCAACTTTACCACCCCCACAACTAACCATCAGTAAAAGCGGACAGAGGAAGAAGATAAAAAAAAAAGCCGAAGCATAAAACGATTTAGCCAATAAATTATAAATACCAAGTAAAAAATGAATAGATCTCGTTTATCGAGCGCGTACCTGCGGCTGAAACACTGCAGCAGCAGGAAATCTTGGAGTAATGGGAGAAACGTGATCTGATGAGGAACTTCCAGACTTGGAGCTCCAACTCTTTGCAGGGGATGAAACAAACCCAGGGGGTCCTTGTGGGTTCGTATGGGGTGAAATGGGAGTGAAAGAGGTGGATGAACGATAGGGCCCTGTTGGGGACTGCATGGAACTCAAGCCACTCTGTGCTGGACTGGGTGGAAATGATGGGCTTGTAGATCTTGAGTTACCCAGTGACACAAGCATGTTTGCCGCCTCTGTTTCATCCATGTCAAATCTGCAAGGGCAATTTTTAATTAATTACTGCCTGTTGGTCGCATCATGTTTCTCAAAACTTAAGTTTATAAATACTATCAAATCTAAAAATATGTTTAAAAACACCAATGATGTTTTTTTTAAAGTTATCCAACATAATGGATAATAATTATAACAGTGACAACTTTAAAAAACCCACTATGTTTTGATCACTAAATAAACAATATTGTTTAACCAAATGAGGATTGTTTTGATTACAAAATAAACAAGGTTGTAATGTAAAATTATCTTTACCATTAAATTTTTATAAATATTTTTTCACTTGTTAAACAAACACCACCTTCAGCTACATTCGTTCCAATTAACACCCTATTGATATTGATGCTAAATGACATATTTTATCATATAGGAGCTCAAATATTTGATAAAACTCTTGAAGGTCAAATAGGAAAAAGCATTTGCACTACAACAGAACAAATTGTGAAGATTCAAGCTGTCCTACTCCTGCACAAAGAAAATTTTGGTTTCATTTCATAATTCAACAAGTACTTGTAAATTGGGTTAAAGTTAAAGTCTCTACCTGTTAGCCATCATACGATCCCTATCATATTCTTGATGGCCTTCCCCAGGCCAGTCCATAGGACCCTCCTTCAAATTTCCCTGTCGACACCCAGGAAATGGTGGAGCCTGTCTCAAACTTTTGCCTTTGAGGGAAAGATGTCTTGAGCAGAATCCACGACGCTGAGATTCTTTGGTACACCTGGAATATTAGTTTTGACCAGCTTTAGCATTGGGTAGTGAGTTGAAATAAAATTCCATTAAAATGAAAACTACATTTTAAACCAAATGTATCAGATTTTTTACATACTCTTTTACTTAGACTATTGATTCCCCATACCCTAAACTATTAAGTTAAAAACACATGACAAATAATTCTTTAATTGTAACCTAGAATTACGGAATTCTTTATAAATTGGTAAGTATGCATAAATTAAGAAGATACTTACCCTTCACGAGAACACAATCTCCGCCATTGTTTACCATTAAACTTTTTCCTAACCCCATTTGCTGCACTAACCACATCTCCTTTCTTGTACTTCCCATTAAGAGGTGATCTTGGTGTGCTGGATCGAGAACTTTCCGTCGACTGAGCACTTCGACTGCGGTCAGGGTCCCGTTTCTTAGGAGGGTTCTTACGGCCATTTTGTGACCTTGACCCAGAACCAGGAGTGGCACTACCTGATCTTGGTGTGCTCATACCTGAGGAATCAAAGCTAATTGAGTCATTCAACATCTCATCATCAGACATATCATCAACATGCTCCAAGGAACCTGCGCTGGATGAGACCGGGCGTTCTATACGGTACAAAACTCCTCCTTGGTTGGAGGAGCTGGGCATTTGATTGACAGGTGAAAAACACTGCTCAGAATTTTCCCCTGTACTGCTGCTTCCTGCAGATATATCTTCCATATCATCAAACCATGGAGGCTGCAACAAACGGATATTGACTCTTGAAGTGGTGACATCAGCTGGCACATCTTGGTACTGGTCATTTCGATTGAGTTTTACAAGAAAAGATGGAGGATTTGCTCGCCTTTCAATTATGACACCTTCATGGAACACATTGGTCTCCTGATTCACTCTGACACAAACAACACGACCATTAGTCAAAGCAGAGGGTTGGGGGTGATTATCCCCAACCAGCAGACAGTTCTTAGGATCAAACACATTGGAAAATGTCATTTGACAATGGTCTGATTCAAACTCCACATCAATATCCTGGTTGTTCTGATGGATCCATTTGATGATTGCAACCTCAAATATACCATTGCGTTTGGCTAACACACGTTGGTTTTTCCATTCCCTCAAGTCTAACATTGGTCTTTTGGGGGCAGGTCCAGCCTGAAGTGAGACAGGCGGCACACTGGAAACAGCAGGGGACTGGGGAAATTCACTTTCCATCTCTGCAGCTTTCCTTTTTTTCGGTGGTATGGCAATGTTTTTTTTTTCAAAATCCTGTGGTTGATTTTGGTGCCCTGGCGGTTCTTGATGGTGTTGTATTGTATCCCCATGGGAGATTCGAACTTGATTTTCATGTGAAATTGATGAAAATGACAAAATATTTGAAGGGCTGGAGAAAGAATTGTTTAAGGTGTGGGATAAAGAAAAATTTGCAGTGGTCAGGATTGTAGGGGCGTTGGAGATGATAGGTTTTGGCTTAACCCCGCCACTAAGTTGCTGACTAAGAATAGAAACTGTTGGCAGACCACCTTGTAACACTGATGTTGAGGTAGGCTGGCTGCTTGGTGTCACCACAGACTCGGCTGTTTGACCAAATCTATTCTGAACAGATAAAGAATAGGGAGAGTTTGATGTCATCCCAAACTGGTAACCATCCAGCTTAACCATCGGCTGGTAGCTGGTATGGCCGGACACAACCTTCGGCGCATAGTCTGTCAACGTTACTACATTAGAGCTACTGGCTGTGGTCAGAGAATGAAAGTACTGCTGCCCTGTGCCACTGTCGCTGCTCACAGAGCTTACATTTAAATTGTTGCTGCTTTTGTTTGGTGTGGTGCTGGTAAGGGTTGTAGTCATCGGGGTTGCCCTCACATTTGTGTTGCCCATAGATAAGGGAATTGACCTTTGGACCGCACCTGAATGAGTTGGTAAGCCTCTTTGAACAGAAGATTGCACCACAGCAGGCAAGGCATGTGAAGTCTTGGAGTCAGTATTGGCAACCTCTTGCTTCTCAGGCACACCCAAGTTAGTTCTTAAAGGAGAGATTTGTAATGAGTTTGTAGGCAGCGTAGCTAGCCAACCGACAGCTGGTGACTCTGACTCTGTTTTAGCCTGTATCGCTGAAGATGACGGTGAGGAGGAATCAACAAAAGGTTTACCCTGAGAAGCAGCCACTTGTGTCTTTAAGTGATCTCGCTTGGATTGCCTGACAGTACGGCCGCCCCTGGTGGTGACGCCACCGGCAGAAGTTCCAGTTGCAGTCCCAGGTACAAGCTTTGGTGGAGCTTTGCTAACACCTTGCTTGGAGATATTGACTGTGGTAGGATCCTCAGCAGGCTCACCTTTAGGTCTGTCTAAACCAATGTCTGTTTTAGGGCTAGCTGGTAACGTTTTATTACTACTGTCTATATTATGGGTGTTTGCATCAATAGGGAAATGGTTATTTTGATCACTTGTGCCTTGAGGTTCTTCTTTTGAGAGTTTGCCACTGGTATTACTGGGGGAGTTGTCCCCTGAATCCCCAGAGACAGTACTTGCATTCTTGCGTCTAGCTTTTGTGCTTCGTGGTGACTGAGCTGCTAGAGATACAGAAACAGAGCTGGGCCCTGCTGGGGCATTACCACTCTGTCCTTTCTTCCTTCCTTCACTTCGACGCTTCATAGTCAGGTCTGCACATGAAAAACATAAATGCAACTGTTAAAATTAATTAAAAACAACAAAGCTATAAATCAAAAGTCATGTTGCTTTGTTCTTTTTGGTTTCATTCATTTAAAATGCCAAATATTTGCGTTTACAATGAGTTTTAGTCCACTGAATGGTAAGAAATTAACATTAGGCCTTGCAACCTAATGCAGCTCAGGTTTAACTGGCAAAATGGAAACTTTGATGCGGTGATTGAAGGCAAGGGAACTTATGTTCACATTTTGAAAAAAATGAAATAGCTTGCGTTGCCCCTTAAAAAAACCCATAAAGTATGTTTTTCCTCTTCTTTTCAGCTTCAGATTCCATTTAAGGTTTTAATGTCTAGTTTTGTATTCATTTTTTTGTTTTTGAAAAATCATGAACAGAACATCATAATACTAGTATAACACCATAAAATGATTTTTTACTAGTCAAAGTTTACCAAAGTCTTGTAACTTTTACAAACAGATAACTAAGAATAATAATGTATAGTCTTTTATTACATTAATGTGAGAGTAAGTCTCCATTTAATAGGCCATGTAAAATATGTTAGCTCAATTCTTACTTAATGTTGTGCTACCCTACAAAAGTTTTATTTTTTAAAAGTTATTATCATTGACAATATATGCTTAACAGCATAAGGGCTGTAGGCGAAGTAATGCACTGAGGCCTCCTATTTCTTTCAAACCTATTCTACCCATGCATTATGACCATTTATTTCAAGGCGAAAAAAAAAGGGGGGGAGGGGGGTTAATCAAGGAGAAAAAAAAAGGGGGGGGGGGGGTTAAAATTAGATGTTATGATGTCCAGAGCCAGCTCTAACACCCCCCATAAAAATTCATTCTGGTTGTGGCACCCTGTGATGGTAATCTTTCCTGGAATCTATAAAGTCCAAATATATATACCCAAACTAAAGAAAATCATATATTGGGCAGTTCAAGGAAAACTTTTTAATAACTAGCACCCAGGTCTTTTTTTAGATACAAAGATACTGGGGATGGAGCGGAAATCGAGAGTGCCAAATAAAACTGGAGTTGGGTTTATGGTTAGAATTTTTTTAAATCAATTCAAAATGCAAGGATACTCTGGTCCATATAATGAATATAGATTAGCAGCATTCTGCACTTAATCTGAGAGCAACAGAATATATGCAGGTAGAAACGCAGGTTTCTTTAACCAGGTTGTCTTTACTGCTGATATAAATCCTTCATTTTTAGTTTTTTCTAAATAGTAATGTTGTTTTACAATTTTTATTCCAATTATTTGTTAACTGATAACTTCATTAAACATGTTGAACACAAATGAAACTATAACTAAAATAATGACCTCATTGGATTTATACTCAGTGCTAGTAATTTCATGTTTTACAGACACTGGTACAAAAAAGAGAAGAAATACTGTTTTTTAGAAAAGGACTTAAGATTTTTTTATGGCTACTGGTATTTGAAACTAGAAATGACATACAAAAAATTGTATATATTCTGTATGTTATGTAAAGAAGATATGAGACATTTACAATGGGCATCATATATTTATTACTGTTTGATTTATCTGAGGAAAGTTGATGCAGTATAGATATCCCAAAAATTCAATAAATAGAAAGGCTTATTTTGGAATTTCAAACTACCATAACTTTCTTGGCATAAATGACTAATTGACATGACATCTGTTGTACAACTATAGATTTCTTGCAAACACCCCAAAACAAAACAAAAAAAATAGTAATATGATTTATCCCTTCTAATAATTTAATGTTAACAAGTTATCTAATAGCCTAAACATTTAACTAGGCTAAGACAAACCCAAGTCTAGGTCTACTCTAAGTCTATCAGATGGATGGTTAATTATTATTATTTAAACAAATTATTCAATTAAAATTAGGCCCTTTTAAAAGTGTAACAGGGGCTTTTCTTTTACGACAATGTTAGTTCAGACATTTGTTTAAAATTTGATGATTATACAAAAAAAACCAAAAAAACACAGAACCCAAGAAGAATATGAGAGTTTTAGACTTGCAGATGGTGTCCCAAAACATGCAAATTGTAATAAATCAATGGCAAAATGTTGACTTCATGTAGAGGTTGGCAAAATTTTTTTTCTAATTCTACCCATTACCACAAAATATCTTTGTTTGGGAATGCAGATGTTAACCCCTTGATTTGAAAGGAAAAAAATCATATACTACTTAAATTCAATTTGGTTTATTGAATGGATTTTAATATATAAAAATATAACATAATTAGATGAAATAATTTAATACAGTCCTCATTAAGGAACAAAAGGATTTCTTTAAAAAAAGTTAATTTCAAATTTTGACTGCCTCCCTGTGAGCAATTTTGAATGCCTTTGCATCTTTCAAAGCTTTGAGCATCAGCGGAGGGGGGGAGGAGATTTGCATAACAGATCCAAGATAAGGGTGTCATAAGATAAGGGTGTCTCCAGAGCAAGGTTCCACCAGTAAGGTACCCACAAGAGCAAGTTTCCATCAGAGTAGGGTTTCTCTAGCAAGTGCAGTCTGGAAGGGTGACCAAAATTCTTTACCTCACTGAGTGACACCAACTCTAGTGACCACACTGTGTTTAACAGTAAAGCCTTACTTACGCTAGCTTCAAGGTCACTAGTAACCACAGACCACAGGATGTTTGCTGCATTTCTCTATTACTATTATTACACAGGCCAGATGAAGTGTCCCCAGCATAAAAAAATTGTAAAAAAAGAATGCATCGAAAATCATTTTGTTTATGTCCTCTTCAGTATTTTCCCCCCAAAATTTGTTACACCAGGTAGTTCATGTACCCCTGGGCTTAAACTTCAAAAATAATTATCTATCTTGGTGCGGGTGTAGTACTAAAATTGGTTTTTATTATTTTATATTTTCATTCAAATTCATGCAGATCTGATTTTTTATCATTTATTTTAAAAATAAAAATAAACTTATAAACCCTACCACTACCTGTAACTATCAAATGTAGGCCTAGCTTATAATTATAACTAACTTAATATTAATTGGCCTAAACTTTGAATTTGAAGAATTTTTGGTCAACCAATTCATAATTTTTTTTTTTTTTGGGGGGGGGGGGAGCATTAGAGGTAGACTAATTAATAATGATTAGTTCTAGTCCTAGTATAATAATAATAATATATAATATAATATTACATAGTATAGTATAGTATATAGATTCATAGATTAGGTTCATACTCAGTATCATTAGGCATATATATGAACTATATTATTATTATTATAATAATTAAATAATCATATTAATATAGCCTATTCCTATAACTTTATTTTATAACTATACTGTGACTGTACTTTAAATAAATTAATAAATATGCTAGGCTAACTGAACAGAACTCTTCAGACGTTAACTCTGATTTTGTGTAGACTGTAGAGACTTTAAAACTTACACGGTCAAGAAACTTCAAAAATTTAAATAACTAGGCTACAATCAATAAAAATATCAAACAAGGTTCTAGCTGAGTAAACTTAAGTAGTAAATAAGCTATACACTGTATAGTATTGTACTGTACACATTACTCATTACTGTCGTGTGTGTAACTTTCCCTAGTTTAAGTAGTTTTAGTGTAGGGCGTAAGGAACTATTTTTACGTCATTTAAACTATTAATTTTTTTTTTTTTTACTTGTAGGCCTAATGAAGGCAACTTTTGGGAAACAATCATACAATCTCCAAGCACGGTTTGTCACAGGAAAATGTTTAATAGTCTAAAATAAATACAAAATAAACATCGCCATTGAATTGAGCAACGTGAAGGCTCAGTGCCACCGTACTAAAAATAGAATTTACAATAACCGTGTAGACGTCACAACTTTTCTAGCCTCCATGGCAGACCATTTACTATAGCTGAGATTCGATGCCAAATTCGTAATAAATAAAGGATATGTATTGGCTAAATCATCATAATCAAACAGAGCCACATATGGTGAAATAATTTAGCAAAATGGAAAGCAATAATCACCTAAGTTATGGTTACATTTCCATTATTTTAACATCCAATATACTTGTCCTCGAAAGATTC